ATTTCATACATTGTATTATTTTTTTGTCAGACATTTCATACATTTTTTGTCAGACATTTTTTGATTTTTTTTTGTTAGACATTTCATTAATATGTTTTCAGAGATTTTATTAATATTTCTGTGAGAATCTTTGTTAATATCTTAGTCTGAAATTTTACTTATATTTTTTGAGATTATTTTTGTCGGATATTCTACTAATGTTTTTGCTGGACATTTCATAGAAAGTTTTCCAGACATTTTAGTAATTATTTATCAAACATTTTATTATTATTTTTTGCACATTTTATTGTTATTTTGGTCGGAAATTTAATTATCATCTTTTTCGGACATTAAACTAATATTTTTTCGACATTTTTTAAATATTTTTGTCGGATATTTCATAACATTTTTTCAGACATCTTAATAATATTTTTTTGGACATTTTATTAATATTTTTTTCGGAGATTTTATTATAATGTTTGTCTGAAATTTTACTTGTATTTTTTCAGACATTTTATTATTATGTTTGTCTAAATTTTTACAAATTTTTTTTTCATACATTGTATTCTTTTTTGTCGGACATTTCATACATTGTTTTCGGACATTTTATTAATATTTTTGCAGAGATTTTATTAATATTTCTGTAAGAATCTTTATAAATATTTTTGTCTGAAATTTTACTTGTATTTTTTTCATACATTGTATTATTTTTTAGTCAGACATTTCATACATTGTATTATTTTTTTGTCAGACATTTCATACATTTTTTGTCAGACATTTTTTGATTTTTTTTTGTTAGACATTTCATTAATATGTTTTCAGAGATTTTATTAATATTTCTGTGAGAATCTTTGTTAATATCTTAGTCTGAAATTTTACTTATATTTTTTAAGATTATTTTTGTCGGATATTCTACTAATGTTTTTGCTGGACATTTCATAGAAAGTTTTCCAGACATTTTAGTAATTATTTATCAAACATTTTATTATTATTTTTTGCACATTTTATTGTTATTTTGGTCGGAAATTTAATTATTATCTTTTTCGGACATTAAACTAATATTAATAATAAC